TAATGTACCTTCTGAAATTTGCAGTGTGTGGAGCTGTTGGCTCCCTTTCAGCTGGCATTCCTCGATCAGCTGATAGAAAGAGCTGGCTGGAAAATCTTTGTGCGATTAGACCTTGCAGCCAATGAGCTGCCTGCTCTGATCGGTATTCTGACAGGTTCCGGTGGCACCTGTCAGAATACAATGCAAACAGCGGCGATTCCTTAATCAACATGCTGTTTGTGTTGATGGAGGAATCACGTCAATTTCTTCTGTTCAGCCTTAGGGTAACAGTTCTCCTTAGGGTAACAGGAGGACACAAACTAGCGTCCTCACGTCACCCTAGGCTCAGTATACCGCGAGCTGTAGCTCGCGGTATACTGAGACGCCGCAGTATACCGCGAGCTGCTGCTCGCGGTATACTGAGACGCCGCAACTGAAGCGGATCCCGACAATTGCTCTGCAGTCCGACTGCTCTGCAGTCGTGTAAGCATTTCACTGCATATCATACTTGTACGATTGTGTATGTGACAAATAAAATCTATCTATCTATCTAATTGTGCCGGCATCCGCCCAGCTGCGTGACTGACAGCTGGCTCTGCCTATCTAGAGGCAGAGCCAGCTGTACCCACCCGTCAGCGCTGGCTGACGGGTGGATCGTGAAAATCACTGACCTCATAGTTCTCCTTTAACTCCAGCCCCAATGCATTAACCTCTAATCACCCATTTCCCAGGAGATGCATATTAACCCCTAAGTTTTCCTTTACACCTTCACATTGCGTGAAGGCATGCCAAGGTGCGCTCATTCGTCATGAGCTAATTTGCCGCGCATGTGGCACTCACTGAAATCAATGGACAACGCGCGGCAAACGTGCACAGACATGCGTTTGAATGCTTTTCTGCATCGTGTAGTGTGAATGGGGACTAAGAGACCCAAGCGTGTTAACCCATCAGGAGTCTCCAGTAGTGCATGTGCATTATCTCTTCAGTGCCCAATCCACGGTGCATGATCATTAACCATCAGCACCATGTCCCTAGCACATGTGTGTAAATCTAGTGTCAGCAGCAAGCCTCCAAACTACCGTGCACCCCTTTATCTGCCAGCTTCAGAACGCTAACACCTTCCCCTCTAATGACCAGAAGAAGCATACGCGCCGGTTGCCCTAGTCAACCACCTAACACATGGATTTCTTTCCCATGCCTTGCTGCTAGCCGCCAGCTTCTAGACCAATCCAAGCAAGTGGAACGGTTCTACATCACTGCCAATCAGCGGCCAGAAAGGCGTGGCTTGCCCCGCAGCCTCCAATGGTCAGCGAGCCGCGACCAATTCATCGTAGAAGGCACCGTGTATTCACACCCACGTGGCCGGGAGTCAGTCTCGCAGCCAGCTGATGGAGACTAGAGATGAGAGCTGTAGACATCGAGCTCCACCCACTGCCCCACCCACGTGACGGACAAACCACTCCCTGCGTGCCCTGGTTGGAGCGTGCTCCCGGCTTCTCCGTGACAGAACGAGCGTGTCATTATGGGAGAGTATAACAGTGTGTGGCAGCTTTGTGCTGTGTACTGAGAGAACCATTCTGCTAAGGATTCACACGGAGCCTTATATATGAAAATAATATTCCCCTCACATAAAGGCATATACAACACTGGGTTGTACTGTATATCCATACCCTGAGCTCACGTGTGTATCTCTTCTTTTATAGCTGTAGTAAAGATGCTTCTTTGTGAGGTAATGCAGAATCATTCAGGGCCCATTCAGATCTATTTGTGTGCATTTTATTTATTGTAGTGCCAATGTGCATTTCCCTTTTTTGCGTTGACGTGTCGTTGATGCGTAATTCCTATTGTATTTTAATTAGTATTTGGAGTGGATAGCGTTGACAGTCATTGACCAAAGCTTTTTAAAACCTGTTGCCAGTGAATCAAAATGCACGTTGCATGCACTTTGTTGCATTGTGCGTGACTTCTATGGGCCTCTCAGCGCCCTATTGGTGGCCACATATGATTGATCAAATACATACGATTGCGATAAAGAGGCCAAAGTGTAACTTTTGGGCGATGTGTCACAATGGTAAAGGCAGGTTATTGATCAGTTTGCCACAAATGATTGTGATTGGTCGCATTAAATAAACGACATCTGCGCTCTCTGAATAGACTGATCAGAAGGACTGAAAACGATTGATCTAGAGCGACTTTTGATCTGGCTGCCTGGATTGACCCATCGTTTGAAGATCGATCAATGGAAAGGCCATGTCCAGCAAAAATAATTGTGTGCCATTTCCATAGAATGGCACATTGATCATTTTACCAACGCGTCTGTGGCCGCTATCAAATGCATGGAAGACAGACAAGGTTATTTTTAAAAACATGAGGGGAATTGATCAAAACTGGAGCCCATGGCAACCAATCGGTTTCTGTCTTTCATTTTCAAAGTTTAAAGTGACATTAAAGGTAACGTAGACTTCTCGTGTCCCACGGAGTCTCCACCGTGCGTGCTCCTGGCTGCTTCCATTCAGTTTTATTTGCGCTTCCCTCCCCTGTACTGCGCATGTGCCTGCACACTTTACAGCCGTTCGGTAGCCAGGAGTTCTTCAGCCGGAAGCAAGCAGCACTGGAACAGGTAAGTAATTAGATATTTGCCTACTTTTTGAAATCATGGGGCATATACTGTATCTACTGCTTGCTAGCAGTAGATATATGGCAAAAAAAAGGAGAGACTTTAATCCTACTTTAATTGAACAAACTGAAGAGAGAAACCGATTGGTTGGCGTGTACAACTGCTCCAGTTTTGATAAATTCTCCCCAATGCCCTGCAGTGCTGAGAAGGGAACAGACACTGGGGGGAATTCATCAAAACCTGAGCTGCCAGAATCTGGAGCAGTTGCCTATAGCAACCAACTCGCTTCCGTTTGTTCAGTTATGCTTTTCAAACTGAAGAGAGAAGCTGATTGGTTGCCATGCACAGCTGCTCCAGATTCTGTCTGCTCCAGTTTTGATAAATTCCCCTAACTGTCCTTATAATGGTCAACCATGACACGTGTTTTATCACGTCAGAACGCGTGTGATAAAACCCAATTATGTAAATGGACCCTCTGTGCCTGCTGGAGCATGCCATCCTCCCTCTGACTTATGAATTGTGTATTTATTTTGCTCTCTTTAAGCTTTTTTGATCCTTGTATGTCTTTTTATTCCACACAGGGTACAAGCCAGTGAGCAGAACGTTCGTCATTCACAATGGCCATTACAGGTATCAGTGGGTGAACCTGCATAAGGACCTATTCACACCTGTGCATATTAATGCAGCAAAGCACATGCATTTTGCTGGATGAAAATGCATTTCTAGTAGAAATCCCATTCTTTCCTGTGGGGCTGGTTTACATCTATGCAATGCAGTTTAGTGGGAAAGTCAAACTATAGGGGCTCATGCACACCTACCACGCGTACTGCACGCACAAGGAGCAGTGTAAATCCAGCCTTAGTGAAGTTTCAGGGCAGAATGGATTCCCTGTCTTTCGCCATACACTTCTAATGGCACATTTCTCAGCCGAGTACAAATCCCAGCCAGTCTCTCCTGTAAAGGCAGCAGCAGGAGGAGGAGGAGACAGGAGAGGAGGGGCGAAGGCTGCATCTTATTTATTTATTTCTCTCTGTCTCGCTCCCTCTCTCTAAATGCTTTAAGGTGAAGAGTGCAGAGCTAGCCGATCCCAAAACATGGTTTAATCGTGCTGAGTCCCAGGAGGAGGAAGACCCGGAGAGTGAGGGAGCAAGGCAGAGACTCCCAGGAAGGGGGAACACAGAGACTGTCTTCTGTAGCAGCAGTGCCAAGCAGGTGTGAAGCCTCCTTCTCACATCCAGACTGCTAGTGAGAGGGTTTCCCCTGCAGATCCCCGTGCTTTGCCTGTGGAGCACACCTCAAGAGCAGGGGTGTCAGCCGAGAGCCCCACCATCACTTCCTCCCTTTTGCACATCTACAATGAGTCTTTCAGTAGCCTTTTCCCAAACCGCAGCATCTCCACACGTGAGGCTCCGGCTCATAGGGGGGCACGCGTGAGGATTCGGAGAAGGGGGCTGTGCATGAACTGACTAGGGCAACTAAGAGCCAGTATTACAAAGGTAAAATTTGGAACCACCCAGGCTTCAAGAACTGCGAAGGGGAAGGGAGAAGAGCAATGATTTTCTTATTAAATTGAAGTGGGGGGGACTTTTTGACTCCCCTGCAGGCTCCACCCAGCAAATTTTTGGGGTCGAAAGAATTGAATTTGAATGGGATTTTTATTTCATTTCTTCTTCATCTTAGGAACATCTGTTGCTGCGAAAGACTGAGACTAGACACCTCTTTGGACTGATTTCGAGCACCCTCTTTTATTTTAAGCACACAGACATCTCGTTGTAGATCCTATCTAGAATTGACATTTTTGGCAAAAATGCAGCTTTATATATAACCCGGGGGCAGCCATTGAAACATTATGTCATAAGCAGCTTTGTTGTTGCTCAATAGCAGCTCATTATTGCAACCTGCTGATATCATTCTTTGGAATATATAAAAAAAATACAGATTTTATCGGTCCATTCAAATTGCAGTCAGTTCGTGTGAAGTGTACCATCATCCTTTTGATACCTGCTCACTCAGGCTGTCCTTTTCATTGACATTAGTTTGATGTGATTTTTTGGAATTAGCTAAGCATTTGGCAGACAATATAGGCACTGACTTTCCAGTTCTTTTCTGATACTTGACTATTTATTGGCAGCACTGGGGAGACTTTCTGTGCAGTTGTTCTTTGGCTGATCTTTTTTTTAAAGATTTTAACGCATAGAAGAACAATTTTATGCAAATTATAAAAGCACCAGTTTTCTCCTCCTTGGGAATATTCGAAAAACGGCTAACGCTGTCTTTTGATCAGTCTTTTTTTTTTTTTTTTGTGTCAATATGAAGCTGATTTCCGAATAATATACATGCAAATATTTTTCATTATTTGCTGTGCTTGCACACAGGTATTCAAACGAATCTGTTCCAGAGGAAATTCATTCTTGCCGTTCTGCATCTCAAGTTGCCTATTTGTATTTAATTCATTTTTTTTGCCCTTTTTGACTGTATTTTTATTTCCTTACTGGAAACCCTATTTGCAAATGAGGATTTAAGTAGTTTTTTTATTGTCTGAGAAAAAGAAGCGGGTACTTTTGTAAGCCAGAAGTGATGGAGAAGTTGGAAGCTGAGTCAGATGTGGAGCCTCAGGGACGCCCCCGTTCTTGCACCTGGCCCCCACTCCCTGAACCCTCCTCGGATATGCCCTTGCCTCCTCCTGGCTTGGATCCAGGGCAGATGCGCAAAGCCAAGAGTTCACGCAGGAATGCGTGGGGTAATTTGTCCTACGCTGACCTCATTACCAAGGCTATAGAGAGTTCTCCGGAGCGACGACTGACCCTATCCCAAATTTATGACTGGATGGTCCGATTTGTACCTTACTTCAAAGACAAAGGTGACAGCAACAGTTCTGCTGGGTGGAAGGTGAGAACCCTCAATTGGTTTCTTTAGGTGATTGGTAGCCCCCAAAAGCTCATAGTAAAATGTATTTCAATAGTTTTGTGTTGATGTTCAAATGTCAAGACAGAGACTTGTGAAGGTTAATTGAAAGATGTGACTTTTTAAGGTAACTGGCACTTGACTGCGAATAATAAGAGCTATCTATGGAGTGTGCATGCAAAGGGGAATCCCTGGCTAGGAGTAGGTATGCATAGCAAAGTACATTTTATGTAGGGAGATTAGATCTGTATATTTTTTAGCAAATGTTGGTACTATAGGGAGCATTATCTTTGGTCTATAGGGGCAGAAAATGCTTCAGAGTTAAAGACACTGCAGAGTAATTTGCCAACAGTTTTACGGCCAATTAAGGTGTTCAGTAGAGATAGCAAGCATGCATGCATTATATATA